TGAAAAAAGAAGAAGAAAGGGCCAGCAGATGGCAAAGTGATTATGTTACTGGACTCCCACATGGCCAAGCGCAGTTCAAGTCCCAGACACAGTGACTTGAAACTCACACTGGGTGCATATACATGCATGCCCAAGATCCCAGGAGGAGAATGGAGGACAAGGGAGTAATTATGGTGTGGCTATCCACTCTGGATTTTGGGCATACCTGTGAGTCCAGGACTCAAACCATGGTTGGCTGGATGGGAGTCCGGTGACATAACCATTATGCCACCTGCTGGTCCCAGACATCTTTGTTTACAAGGAAAAACCAAAAAAACGTGAGTAGGGGTTTGTTCTGTCCCCGCTGCTGTGGGACAGAAGGGCCACTGAGCACATGAAAGGCGCATGACATCACTACTCACCAGTGAAATGCAAATTAAACCGTTAGGTTGTCGAGAAAGTCGTGGCACATTTTTCTACGTTTTCCTATGCGAAAACGCACATGAGTTTCCGACAACCCAGTCCAGCGAGCCCTGCACACTCACCACAAGGCCAACACGGAAGAATGAGCACCCAGTGCTGTCGGGCGGACTGAGCTGTGTAGTGGTGGGAACCCAAGCTGGCGCAGCCCACCCGTAACCACGCCTGGATGTGTGCCCAGGAGGAACGGCGCCTGTGTCTACTGAGAGACACGTACGAAATATTCCTAGAGGTTTTATTCATGATAGCCAAGGGCTAGGGACCCATCAGCAAGAGGCTGGAGAAGTATCTATGGTTAAGTGGAATGCGATGTAACAGAATTCAGTTCTGATGCACGCAGTGTTCAAGAGGAAGGAGAAGCCAGTGACAAAGAACACACGCTCTGACCCAGTTCTGTGTAGCTGAGGAGCAGGTGAAAGTGCAGGTCAGAAATGTGGGTATCTGCAGGAGGTGTGGGACAATCGAGGTAGTGCCAGTCCACGTGGGTCCTCGGCCGCCTTCTGAGCGGGGTATACACAGGCGTGGCATTTGGTAGGCGCTGAGCTGTCAGCTCTGCTGGTAGCCCAGGCGCCCTGGATGCCACCCCACAGATGGTCAAGTGACTGTCAGCTGTGTGTCACCCGCACATGTGTCCAAAACACACTGATCAGACTCTCCTTTTGTAGAGGCAACTTAGAAGTACCTTTCCAAGTAGTAAATTTAAGATGGAGCCATTCTCCTTTTTTTTTTTTTTTTTTGAGAGTTGTTTTTTGTTTTTGTTTTTGTTTTTTTTGCTATAGTGCGTGTGCGCTTGCCATAGAGACAGAAAGTGAGAAATCACCCCCTGGGGGGATGGCCACACCGCAATCCCTTCTCCTCCATTCTCCTCTCGGGATCTTGGGCACGCACGCACATGCGCCCGGTGTGAGTTTAAGCCACCAGGTCCAGGACTCAAACTGTGGTCAACTACATGGGAGTCCAGAGACATAGCCATTATGCCAACTACTGATCCCCCAGCCATTCTTCTTATAAGGCAAATGTGCTACAGAAGCGCATCTCCAAAAGAGCATTCTGTGCAGCATTACTTATTTATAACATTATCTTCATTTGACACACGAGGAAACTGCTGTAACTCATCTGAGGTTATTCGACTGCAAAGTAATAAAGCCAGGATTTTAACCCAGACCCGTTTGACTGCAGACCTTCTGCCCTCCTTGTACTTAGCACCATCTTTGACTTGAAAGCATCTGGGACTGTCGGGGCCGTGTGTGCCCGGCAGCCAGCAGCACGTGGGGGCAGCCTTCCCACTCTGGGTGGGGTGGGCCAAGCTGGCACGGCAGACCAGCCCTCTGTGTGGGCCCCAGAGCCCAGAGCTCTCCGCAGCAGGAGTGGCCTCCCGAAAGGCTCCCTGCCCTCTCCTATCTAACGCCCAGACCTTGCGCAGTCAGGGCCGACTCCCACGGCTTCCAGCAAGGCCCAGACAGGGTGTCGGCTCAGGGAGCAGCGCGGACGCCCCAGGTCATGCATGCAGCTTCTTCTCCAGTTCTCACAGTCATTCACTGTGTGACTTGGGTCAAGTCCCTCGTGCTCCCTGGTCCTCTAGTTTTCCAACCATTAAAAGAAGTCGAGTTATGGAACCAGCAGACGGTGTAATGGTGACGTCGCTGGACTCCCACGTAGTCCAGTGCTGTTCGAGTCCCAGACCTGGTGACTTAAAACTCATACTGGGCGCATGTATGTGCGTGCCCAAAATCCCAAGAGGAGAGAGGAGGAGAAGGGATTGTGGCATGGACACCCCCCCAGGGCTGTGTTCTCACTTTATGTCTGTCTCTCTGGTAAGTGCATGAGTCCTATAGCAAGAAATCTCTCTGAGCAAAACAAGGACTTGAGTGAGACCATCTCTGGGGTCCGAGTTCCTGCAGTGGTTCTGTCAGCCACCCCTAGTCCACATTCTGAGTGGACGTCAGCCTCCCTGCAGCTCTCACCCCCCTCCCACCCCTGCAACCCCTTCTAAGAATGTAACCAACTGGAGCTCCCCGGCCTGGGCTCCTCCACCTCACCTCCCCAGAACATCCCCTCAGATACCCAGAGATGGCAGCTTGTGACACACCAAAGGGTCTTCTTTTAATTTTCTTTACCATCTCTCGACTGTTCACGACATCACGTGTTTTCTCAGCTTTTTGCCACTGAAAGTGTTTTCCTCTAGCTTGGTGATTTTTTGTTCTAGTTTTTGCTATAGAGCATTCACACACTCACCAAAGAGCGACAGAGAGAGAGAGAGAAGGGGAAGTGAGAAGTCACCCCCCGGTGGGGATGGCCACACTGCAACTGCATCGCCTCCATTCTCTTTTTGGACTTTGAGTACGTACGCACACATGTGTGATTTTCAAGCTTCCAGGTTCAGGATTTGAATCGTGGAGCCAGACATGTAGGATCCAGCTGCCTTAAAGTCCATGCCACCTGCTGGCTCTGTTGCAGTTTTAGAATGTCACTAGAAGTGCGTCACCAAAAAGCAAGAACAAAAACTGTGAATGCAGACCTTCGGATATGGATGTACTCGGGCGGAATGGAGCAAGTTCCTGTCCCCCCCCATCTGGTCACTAGGCCTCTGTTAGTGTGCGCTGAGGCCTTAAGAGCTGCCACAGTCTCCGCCAGTTCCCGTCATGCCTGTACTCCACAGACCCCCAGCCCTTTTTCCGATGACCCGGGGTGGATCTACTGGCCCCAGCTCAGCTGCTGTGGGTAGCTGTGTGTGTGTGAGCCTGCCCTGCTAGGGCGACAAGCGAAGGTAGAGGGCCACCCCGGGGCCTGGCCAGCACATCATCCTGTTCACGTGTAGCAGTGAAGTAAACACTCCCCGGCAGAACTGGCGCTCGCACAGTTTATCTCTGTCGCCGAGAGGAAGACCCAGACCCCCCGCCTCACAGAGCCACGTTTGCCGTCCTCTCCTGGACTTCACCCAGCAGCACAGCGGTGTGGGGCAGGACGGAGCGCCGCGAGCAGTCCTCGCCTTAGTGCCCCGCCAGTGAGCAGGTGTCCCGGCCTCGCCCTTTGACCTCTGAATCTCTTGCTGAGTTCACCTTCCTGATGGGGGGCCGGTAAGGGTCTCAGGTCACAGCGCCCTGGGGCCTCAAAATCAGGTGATCTTGTTTCTCTCCTGCAGTAAAAGCCTTTCCTTAGCATCTGGACAGCTGGCCTCCCAGCCTCACCCGGAATTGCTCGGAGCCCATCCCTAGGCACGTGGGGTGGTGTGGCTCACACCGGCAGCCCCGGGCGCCAGGAGCTCCGCAGGCTCGTCGTGTGCCGTTTTCTCCTCACCACACCTCGCGTAGCCGGGTCACACTCCTGTCCACCCTACAGCACTCATCGCTCTGGGGTGTCGGCACACGTGGCTTCCAGCACGTGGGAACAGGGAAGAGCTCCACGCTGCGTCTGCTGCAGGCCTCCCCCCGCCCTCACTGGCGCCCCTCACTCATGCAGGTCTGAAGTATCTGCAAATAATTCTCTTCATTTAACGCAGACAGACCTGGTGTTCCCTTCCCTGAATGTCAGCAGGGTTCCGCTCTCTGATCTTTCCCATCAGGGCTGCCATTGATACTTACAGACTGGTGAATAGTAAAGATATTGATCATGGGGTCAGCTCCGTGGCCCGGAGGTAATGCGCTGCCCCGGGAAAGCCAGATCCCACACGGCGACAGTGGTTTGAATCCCGGGCCCACCCCCCTGTAACCTACAGGCATGCCTATGAGTGTCCGGGTCCAGGGGGCTCAAGACCTGGAGGAAGGGACTGGGAGTGATCGGACCCCATAGAGGGTGCTTGGCTCTTCCTCTCTCTCCCCCTCTCTCTTTCTGTCTCTGTGTGCATGCATGTACTCTGCTACGAATAAATAAAAAAGTGTTTAAAAAACAAGGGAAGAATGTGTATTTGTCACATTAACTTTTTCAGTTAGTTGGTTAATTTGCCACATTACCCTTTCCAACTTAGCCTTGTAGCGACTCACTGTTTATTAACACTTTATACACACTGGCCCTTGCAGAGGCTATGGGAGCTCAGACGGGAATTAGGAAAGACTCTTGCGTTAGGAGCTTTGTGTACGGGAGATAAGATAAATGCAGGTAAGATGTCACGCTGTGATCACAGTAGCACCGGGGGGCCACAGAGCCAGTCTCAGGGCATCCCCACTTGATAATTGGAGGAACTGAGCCCCACAGAAGTGGCCGGGGGGCCACAGAGCCAGTCTCAGGGCATCCCCACTTCATAATTGGAGGAACTGAGCCCCACGGAAGTGCAGGAACCACCTCGCGTGGACGTGGCTGAGAGGCGGGGTCAGGGACAGCACCCAGGGAACCTGAGCGGCTCAGGCCATCGCCTCGGCAAGTTGCAGCTGCACAGCGTCCGAGTTAAATGGCCTCGGGGCTGTTACCCTCTGCCCTGGCAGATGATGGCCTGAAAACTCGCCTGAGCACAGGTTCCCTTTTCAAGCCCCACCCACCTCTGTCCTTGCGCTCCCTCCAGCTCACTTACGTTTCGTTTATTTACATGCGTCTCTCTTCCCCTCCAGGTTGTGATCAATTACTCAATCGTGAAAGGGCTGAAGTACAATCAGGCGACGCCGACCTTCCACCAGTGGCGAGATGCCCGCCAGGTCTACGGCTTAAACTTTGCGAGCAAGGAGGAGGCGACCACGTTCTCCAATGCGATGCTGTTTGCCCTGAACATCATGAACTCCCAAGAAGGAGGTACGAGGGGTCTGCCTGGGCTGGTGCCGAGCCCTGCCTTGCTCAGCTCTGCTGTGAGCCGTGTTTATCCTCGCACTGCTCCGACCTGGAGCACGCGTTCTGTGGGTTCTCAGACCCGTGCCGTCTCTGGATGCAGAGAGATGTGAACAGTTTGAGGGGGCGAGAACAGGGTTGTACCTTTCTGCCTCTCGTGCCATGTATCATGCGTGTGCGCTCTGCTCTGGAGAGCTGCGTATCCAGATCTGTCTCACTTCACCACGGACTCCCACGTTCTGGAATGCGTGTTTGCGGAGTCGGCCGAGAACAGACAGCAGCCCATTCTGGAACTCGGTTATCCGTCCATATGTTAAAGAAACATTTGCTCAATACTTACTGATTGCAAGCACCTGGCTAGGCAAGACGGGATACGAAATGAATAGCACCCTTCCCTTCAAGGCAGTTGGTATTCAGGGTAGGCAGATCCATAAGCGGCCAACCGTGACATGCTGTGCTGTGTGCCTGGTGAAGGGATGTGCACGGTGCCCAGGAACACAGGCGTGAGTAACCCTGCCCAGCTGGGCCGCCGAGGGCACTCAGCAGCACTGTGACGCCTGAGGTGCACTGCAGAGAGGTGGGGTCACAGGGCAGAAGTGGCAGTGGGCATGCTGGGCCTGGGGCACGGGTCGGAACCAGGGAGGTGAACTGTCTGGACTGGGGGCTCGCCAGGGAAAGGCCTGGGTACCTGGGAGACGGGCAGGTGCGATGCATGGCGTCTGGCAGGCAAGGGGTGGGCAGCAACAGATTTCTAAGCAGAGCAGTTCAAGCAGAAAAGCAAGTGTGCGAGGCTTTTCTTGGACATCCCCGATGGGAGCTTTAGAGGGAGGATTGAGGCCTTCCCAGGCGCGGGGTCTCGACTGCCTTGGGGGTGGTCCTGGAGGTGGCTAGAGCTCTTACCTTGGCGAACACGCTGCTCGTTAAGGACTGGGCTGGGAGTCACTGCGCAGTTTCAGTCTTGGTTCCGCCACATTCTAGCGGGAACCTTTGGGTCGGTCACTCGACTTTTCTGTGCCTCAGTTTTATCATCGGGTGTTTTTACAATTAAGTGCAGAGTGTTTCGCAAGGCCCTGGCACATGTGGTCACTCGAGGTTCACACAGTGTTATTGCCGTCATGATGACTGCTGCCCAGAGAGGAGGGAGAGGCGGGCGTGGTGCTTAGGCCCCTCTGATTTCACTCATGACGGAGAGTGCGTGCACAGGGCGGGGGTGGGTAGGAGCACCCCCACGGGGTCTTGCTCTAGGACCCCTCCCCCCAGTTCATCAGGAGCTTGGGCATGCACAGCCAGCTCGTTTCGGGCCACCCAGGCCCAGGACACAAACCTGAGTGGACCAGGGGCTTCCAACACGGCCATTTGATGTCACTGACTGTGCCACCAGGCAGGGCTGGAGAGACAGCTCTTCCGTGTCTCCTGGGCCTGGCCTGTTGGACTGCAGCATGCCATTTACGTGAAGAGACCTCATCTGCGCCCCGCAGGGCACACCGTGGGCACTCATAGCGCACTCCCTGCCGTGACAGGGCACCAGGTCTACGGGTTTTCTGGGTAAACCTCGGGAGGTAGGGATGCCTCTCTGCCGCTGAGCACCCGAAACAGCGCAGGGACCTAGCGAATGTTTACCAAACCATCTTCCTTTCCACCCGGCACCCTGAGCTTTGTGGTAAAGTGAGCTGAGTTTCCGACCTGACTTACCTCGCCGGCCCCCAGGATGTGGGAGGGGAGCTTTATTTTATCTGTACTCAGATATACTGAGGGCAAAAATAAGGTCTTCACTTGGTCAGACACCTGACTGTCAGAGAAGCGCCCACATTCAGTAAGAGCTACTAGTTACTGACGTGGGAGTGCTGGGTGATCAGCAGCCCCTGTGTCGGTTCTTGTCCAACGATCACAGAGTTAGAGATGTGGACAGGAACCGGAGAGGACAGTAGGCAGGGTTTTCTAGGGAAGGGGAAGCTTCCAGGCGCAGTGGAAGGGGTGCAAATGGGTTTCCAAAGAGGACCTGGAGGTGAGGGGTCTTTATCGAGCCGCCCGTGCGATGGGTGGCTCTGATAGGAAGTGGGCTTTAGAAAATAGTTACACGTCGTCTAAGTGATTTGTCACCCCATTGTTTGTGGGGTCAGCGACCACAGCACCACAGTGTCTGTACTTCTGAGAACGCAGTTACTAAGTATAAGATGTTGCCTTAGCTATGGTTGCTTCCAGCCCCAGGGCAGCCAGCTCTTGGCTGTGAAAACTTAGCCACTGTGACTCCATCTTGGCCTTAGCCTGTCTGTGTGCTCAGTATCCCTATCTCCTGTTTCATAGCAAGGAGTCGTAAGTTCTTTAGAGACATGTAAAAGGGGCGAATATCGTACATTAACCAGACCATAGAGAAAAAGCACAGAGACTTCATTAAAAGGGGAACACAGTAACCCCCCTTTAAGGGCCCTCACCTATCTCCCTGTACGTGGCCTAGCTCCTATCTCAGTGTGTTACTGCATTCACCAGAGGATCTCAGGTAGACCAGTTAGCTCACCCGTTTTCAGGTGATAAAGCCATGACCTTGAAGAGGAAATGACTCACTGGTGGCAGGCAGCGAGCTGGACTCGAGCCTAGACCTCCCACAGTTGTGGTTGAAGGACTGCCTTTGTGGGGTTGGGGAGCTTGCGGCTGGTTTGGTGTGGGGTGACCGTGACGGTGGCTTGGAAGCTTGCACTGGGAGGAGCATTTGCCCTTCCCTGACCAGTTGGCCAGGGCCTTCTTTGCAGGCAGGGCGACCCCGGAGCCCGCTAGCTTAAACTTTCTTCAGCTGAGGTGTGAACACCTGATCAGAAGCGCACAGCTGGTGAGTCGCCGCGTGGTGTACCCCAGCTCGCATGCCACACCCAGGTGGCAGTAGAGCCAGGTCTGCCCGGAAGGCTCCCTCCCCACAAGCCCCGCCCTCCAGGATGGGGGCAGCCCGTATGGCAGGGCAGTCCATATGGTAGGGGAGCTGTGAACTTCACAAACGGAATCGTGTGCTGTGTGATTTTTCTTGTCTGTTTTTTCTGCTGGGCGTTTCATTCGAGGGATTCATCCCTGTAACAGCTCTTTCTCACAGGGGGGTGTTCCGCAGTGTGACTGTGTAGAAGGGGGCCTGCCCACCGTGCTCCCTGGAGGTCAAGCCCTCCAGACGTCATGCAGAGCCCAGGCAGTCGCTCCCCGCCTCAGCCCACCAGCTCCTGCAGGAGGCCTGCTGCCAGAGGCTGGTGGACTCTGTTCAGCCCCCTGCAGTGGGAAGCCCACCTGCAAGTCCCACTTAAAAGTTGTGGAGAGGATTCGAGGGTCCAGGACGGAGCCTGGCACCTCATAACACACCACCAACACGCTTCCTCTGCCCACGGGACATCCAGGCCTGTGATGGGCGTCGGGTCGGGTCGGGTGTCCTGGGACGCTGTTGGGCCATGGCCCTTTCTAGACCTCGCCTCCTCAGGCCAGGCCCCGCCAGCACACAGCCCCTCTCCCTCCGCGTGTGGCCGACGCTAGCGCAGGCTCCTCTGGGGTTGGGGGCCTTCTGAATCCCAGGCAGCCCTGGCAGCAGACGTGTTTGCCCCACACGGACTGCACACCCTCCTCCGCCCCAGGTCCACAGCCGATCCCCCACACCCGCGAGGGAGCCCCAGGTGATGGCCCTGTTGTCCAGGCCAGGAAGCCGAGACTCCGAGGGAGGGACTTCCCTGTAATCTCACGCAGCTTGCACCGTGTGCTGACGATGGCCCAGGCATGCGGCCCGTGTCCGTCCCCCTGCTCCTCTCTGCCTCCCAGGAGCGAAAAGCCCTGTCAGGCCAGGACTCAACGTGATTCTAGACACGGACAGGGTGCAGCGGCTGTGTGCTGCCGCCTAACTTCTGCACGGCAGAAATACTCCGGCATGAAAGGACGCGCTGACCCTTGCTCGTGGGGCCCGGCACGGGGAGTGGAGGAGCCCTGAAGTGGCCTGCGTCCCTCACGTACCACCAGGCCCGGTGCCTCCCACGTCAAGGACGTCCGCGTGCACCGGGCTCCACCCGACATCGTGTGAAGGTCCGGTAACGCGATGTGGCGGAGAGCGTGCTGAGCATCCACCTGCCGTCCCGTTGCACCCGTGGGAGAGGGTGGTCTTTATGCCGACGCGCTCTGTGCCGTGAACGTCCCTGCGTGTGCCAACACGCTCTGTGTCGTGGACATCCCCGTGTGCCCCCACACGCTCTGTGCCGTGGACGTCCCCGCGTGTCCCGACGCGCTCTGTGTCGTGGACGTCCCCGCGTGTCCCGATGCTCTCTGTGTCGTGGACGTCCCCGTGTGTCCCGACACGCTCTGTGCCGTGAACGTCCCCGTGTACCTGTCCAGTTACTTTCCTGAGCAGAGTTATCTGTCTACACCTGCACAATTGTGTCTATCTTGCCAAGTGCCTTCCAGAGCGACGTCCTGGCTTACGCTCCGTCTACACCCGTGGTGTACAGGAGCCGAGCATTGTACTCTCGTTCATCTTAATCACCAGAGAGAAGAGAAATCACATTTTCGTTGCCATTTCTGTTTATTAGTAAGGGTGAACCTTTTTCTTATAGTAATTGGTGATGTTGTTTTGATTTGTTTCTGCATTTCCACAGTAGCTTTGAGGAAGTGCAGCGCAGCGTGGGGGCACAGCTCCTTGCACCGTTAATCATGGCTCCATGCCTTCCCAGCCCAAAGCACAGGTGTACTGATGACAGGGATTGTGCGTCACCTTGGGCTGATGCGCGAGGCCACCTCCCATCACATGGTGTGTGCCAGGCTCACGGCAGAGTAAGTGCGCTCCCTGGCAGTGACGGCCGTGCTGCCCACGTCCTGGGAGTCGTGCTGCGGCCAGACCTGCCGCAGGACCAGAGCAGAAAGCGCTGGCTTCCTCGTCTTTCAATGCTGGGCCTCGCCTTGCCCTGGGGACCATCTCTCGTTTAGGGCCCAGGACGTGCTGGTGGGTCTCAGCTGTT